ACTCTCACATTTATGTTCTGGATTTCCTGAAAAGTCTTAAGATCACTAAATAGGAAAAGCAGTATTTTTAACAATGGTCCACACAAAAAAAATTAAAAGAAATTGGATCATGCTATATATCAATGGAAACTTAAAATGAATCAATATAAAAGCTGAAACTATAAAGTTCTTAGAGGAAAACCCAGGAATAAATTTTCATGATCTTGCACAAGTAAGATCTAGACATGATTCTAACATACAAGCAGCCGAAAAAAGAAATTGATAATGATATCACCAAAATCATTACTTTTGTGCTTCAAAAAATGCTATCAAGAAAGTCAAATGGCAATCTACAGAATGAGAGAAGAAAATTGAAAATCATACATGTATTAAGAAACAAGTATATATCATATGTAAAGAACTCTTATGAGTTGATAATAAGAAGACAACTCAGTTTTAAAATAGGTAAAGTATATGAATACACAGTTCTATAAGAAGATATACTAATGGTCAACAGACACACAAAAAGATACTCAATATTAACAGTTATCAGACAAGTAAATTTAAAACCATGTGAAGTATTACTTCACAAATACTAGTGTAGCTATAATAGAACAGTGAAACCTGCTGAAATCATTTTAAGTAGGGGGAGAGAGATGAGGGAGAGTGAGCCTAACCAAGGTACATTGTAAGTATGTGGAAATGTCACAATGAAACCCTTCATATAACTAATATGTGCTAATACAAGTGTTTAAGAAGTCAGATAATTATAAAAATAGTTGGGAAGGAACCAGAACCTTCATGTACTCTTGCTGGGAATGTAAAATGCTGCTGTCGCTTTGGAAAATAACCTGGGAGTTCCTCAAATGTTTAGACATGGAAATACCACATGATTCAGCAACTCTACTTCCAGATATAGAATCAAGAGAAATGAAAACCTATATGCACACACAAACTTATACATAAATGTACATGGCAGCGTTATTTGTATTAGCTCAAAAGTGGTAACAACCCATATGTCCACCAACTGAAGAATGGATATGCAAGATGTGGAATAGCATACTTTGTATTCATTCTTTGGAATGTTATTAGACAATAAAAAAGTGCAGTGCTGATATATCCCACAACATGGTAGGCCTTGAAAACATGTGAAGTTAAAAAAAAAGCCAGTAATAAAGGGCCATATATTGATTCCACTTACATGAAATGCCCAGTGCAAATCTATAAACACAGAATGCAGACTGATTGCAGATTCATGGTTGCCTAGAGCTGAGGAGAGGGGTGCTGCAGTGGTTAGGAGTGATAGCTATGTTGTATAGAGTTTCTTTGTGGACAATGAAGTATTCTTAAATTGATTGTGGTAATGGATGCACAGTTCTGTGATTATACTAAAAACCATCAAATGTTATACTTTAAATGAGTGAATTATATGACTAGTATATATCAATAAAATCATTTTGAAAAAGGGACATAAACAGCATAGAAGCTTGATTACTCTGTAAAAATCATTATAAGCTGTTATATTTCTACATAGCTCATTTTTGTTTATACATGTTACACATTTCATTCTCACATATATATAAATTCTCATACATATACATGAGAATTAAATATATAAATAAGACTCAAAATGGATAAAAATGGCCTACTATTAACTATGGGTCCTTTACATGCATATAAAATAAAATAGTAAAAATATAAATATAAACTAAAATATTAAATATATAAAATAAGATACTAAGAAATGGCAGAGCACCCAAACCAAAGCATACTGTGGTAAGCAAGATAATTTAACAGTACACCTGTCTTCTCTCATTTTGAAAATGTAGATGTGGTTCTGTTTATCTTTCTTTTAAGCCTGGCAGGTTTTTCCTGTACAGTTTTATCTTTATTTTGTCTTTAATATGTTTAATGTAACATTAGGTAATGGTCAAGCATTGTTAAACTGGTCTAATGTGTCTATCTCCCTTAAACCTGTAAGTCTTGCAGTATATGTGTTTACTTTGTATTTTTATTAGCATACATTAATAGTACAAGGAAGTTTCATTGTGATATTTCCATAGATGTGTACAGTGTACTTTGGACAACTTCATTCCATCTATTATATTTCCTTAACTCCATTCCTTCTTCCCCCTCTTTTCAGACTATATGTGTTTGTTCAATTAATACAGGGGTACTTTTAAATCAAGGTGTTTAGCTCATGTAAGATGTTTTGAAATATATAAAGAATCTGCCGTATCATTTCCTATTCTATTTTCATAGCAAAAAGGAAAGTTTCCCGGTGAAAGTAGTGTTTTTCATAATCAATTTTGCTTTCGTTAAGTTCATGTACTTTCATTTTATTCAATAAACATTGGTTGATCATCTTTCCCCTGGTACCCTGTGCTGGGCACTGATGGCTATTAGGAGGTACAGATAGGGCAGTCACTCTTTGTTGAATAGAAACTTCAACTGGAATGCAAAAAAATTGTTATTTATTGTCCACTTATAAAGGAAGCTATCAGGCTTTACATATGTAATTTAAATAAATGCTTCACATGTGGCATTAAGTCATCACAATAACTCTCTATTTCAGATATTATTATCTGTTAATAGAATAATACAAACCTAGGAAAGGCAAACACCTTATTGAAGTCACAGGATGAGGACCTAAATATTTGTCTCCCTCCAAAACTATTTCTCTTTCCATTAGTGTGTTTTATGCTTTATGCCTGCTGAGATAGAGAATTTTCCCTTGGCAGGATTTGCCATAATGTTTTTCTGGGTCAGTCAGATTTCAGAAATGAGAATATACCTTAACCCTTATCTACAAACCTTTTCATAAATGGAGCATTTGACTTACACAGCCCATGGCCCCTACAGTTACTTTTGTTGTTATTTTCAAAGAATTTTGTTAGAATCACACCCTTCCTCCACTGCAAACCCCTGACAGGGCTATCAAAAGCATGCTAACATTAGCACCTGTCCTATATCTTTTAAACTCTCTTAACTGTTCCATAAATGTAAGTTATTACCATTATTATTCCTTTTCTGATTTTGTTCTATGTTTAACCAGTTGAGTATGATTGTGAAAGGTACACATCAGTGAAGAATTTTGGTACATCTTTAATCTTTGAGCAAATAGAATAAGGGTCGGCAATGCTTTTATACCTGTAGAATGTCCCACTGTCAACATGCCTCAACGATAGTTGCACTTGCCTTTTTGGTGAGAGTAAGTGCCGTGAAGTATATTCCACGTATATTATTAATTATTTTCTTAATTGCTTGTAACAAAATAATAGAATAAACAAAGAATAGAGCGATCAATTGATCACATGTATGAATACTAGGAAATAGGTAAAATGAAAAATAAGCTTGCGCTTAAAAATTCTTTTTCTATATAAGCACTACTTTGTAGGAGATGTGAGGAAAATACAAGTAGGAGGTTACGAGAGGGGTAGTTCTTCAACTTGAAGCCAATTTGTATTTTTATTATAACTATTTTAGTTGATTCCAATATACAACTTAAATGCTCAAGACTGTATGGACTAAGTTATGTGTAAAAGATAAGATTTTTCTGTTAAGCTTTGACCATGAAGAAAGCACATATTATACTATAATGAAAATCTAATCTTTTGAGAAGAATATTATAGCACTGGTATTTTAGCTTGATCTTTTGTTACAAGGTATGACAAGAGAAAATACATAAGTCATCTAACTAGAAAAGCAATGATGAATACAGGATCACATTGGGGAAAATTTTGTTTTTCAAGGGATTGTCTACTTTAACAGATATACCGTTGGTCCATAATGACAAGGGAAAATATACAGTGTGCTGTTCTATAGCCCTACCTTGGAAAAATCATTTATACTCTAAAAGGGGAAAGATACACTTTTTTTTCCTCCAGAAGAAACTCTAACTTTAATACTTTAGGAAGAAATAGGTCAATCAGTTCTTAAAACCATTAAATGTTCTCAAATATGAGTAGAAAGAATTCAAATAGTATTAATGATTGATTTTAGCTGGAAACAATATCTGAAGGGAAATTGTTAATGGAAGATAATGTCTAGTTCTCCATCAGGATTTGGTTTTTTAAAACGTCTTTTTAACAAGAGGTTATTTGTGGCACCCAGTGTTTGGCGAAGTCCTTATGATTTAGGACTTTTGATCCAGTTGGTAAACTCTGATTTTTTTTTTCTCTTCCTTATTAGTCTCCCTCTTGGCACTCTTTCCATTATCAACAATCTTGCTTCCAGGGACAGTAGGTGTGGAAAGATAGATGGCAGATGAGCATAAATCTTAATGAAGTTGAAGAAATGCAGTTTTAATAGAGACCTGTGGATTTTATGTCAAGATACACAGTCCTCCATTATTATAGATAATTGAAAGTTAATGCAATTAACCTCCTTTGAAAATACTCTCAACACAATCACAAGGCTGCAATTCCCCTCTCCCAAGATGTCATGATGTAATCTTAAACTTTAGTCCTAGAAGGAGATTTGTTATACTATACTGCCCACATGCTCTTGCCAAGCTCACTCTGAAGGCCACCAAAAACAGTCTCAGCTGTTCCTCTGCCTTTCTCTTGAAAAGAGTTTCCAATCTCCCTTGCAGCTAAGCCTGCATTAAGAGTCTCAACTCTTTGTTCCTTGCTTCTTGGTGGAACAATTTTGAGTTGTTCTACACAGTCCTCAGAGGTTTTCAGAAGGACTGAGCCCCAGGTATCCAGAGATTTCACTGCCTCCTTAACACACCCCTATTCTTTGCCTTCAAGCTTTTCTGTCTGCTACTTTCTCATTTAATTTTATAATGGACAAAAATGTAGGAATAATTATTACCACCTTCTTACACATGGGGAAATGGAGCTTGAGAGAGGGAAGTGGCTTGTCAAGGTAACATGGCCCTTATGAGGCTGAGTAGGGCTTCTCCCGTGGTGGGCAGACATGGTAGCAGATGTCGTTCTCTATTTACACTGCTTTTGTGTGTAACTAAGATTATCTCCTCTGACCACTCCAGCATGACCAAGAAAAGAGATCCATACCTCACTGTTGAGCTTGTTTATCTGCTGTTTGGTTTCCTCTGCTTTGATGAAGAGAACGGCAGCTCCAATCTCTGGGTCTAGAAAGTGACACACAGAATGAGCCTTTTAGAATTCAACTGCATGTCTGAGGACTGGGACAACTGAAATATGGAACAAAGCCCAAGTTATCACCTTTAACCTTTCCTAATGTTTGTTCCCTGTAGTTTCTGTCCTCCCAGGATTAGATAAGCCTCTTGTACTTCTCTGGATGGCTCCTGATATACTCTTGGAACCATACACACACATAGTGGTGACTGAAACCACAGTGACTGGGTGTGCCCAAGGAAATCCTCCCATTACCCCAGATATGATCACTACCATGGTCCAAGATGGCACATTTTCTCTTCTTTGACTGTTTTCTAAAAATGGACAGTCAGTGCTCATACCATATAAAAGGGATATTCTTTTCCTTCTCTCATTCTTTTCCAAAACTTGATTCCTTTGCCAATGAGAAAGTTTTTCTCCACCTCTATTTCAGGTACTAATCTGTGCTGCACAATTCTGGCTCTGCCTCAATTCACAAGGTAATTTCTCCCATTTCCTAGTTCTCTTTTCTCCATGTTTTCTCTACTGTCCAGGACAAAAAGTTCAAATGAGTCAGTACTAGTTGGAGTACAAAATTCAATCTCTCTCTCTTTTTCTCTCTTTCTCCCTCTCTCTCTTTCTCCCTCTCTCTCTTTCTCTGTCTCAATATATGACCATACTAATTTTCATCAATTATGCCTAGAAAACTTTTCTATGGGAGAAAAAACACTTAAAGTAGTCCAAAGCAACAACAATGCATTTCACAGAGATACTTTTTAAAGATATTCTATTCATTCAACAAATGATTTCCAGTTATAAACAATAGGTCAATATATGAATAAAGAAAATGTAATTGATCTTCCTGGAGCTTAGAAGTCAGAGACACTTAAAAAGTATTTAGGCATCTGGATGTAGCAGCTCACACCTATAATCCCAGCAACTCAGGATGTAGAGATCAGGAAGATCACAGATCGAGGCCAGTCCAGACTCCGCCAAAAGTTAGTGAGACCATATATCAAAGAACAAGGTGGGTATGGTGGCACGCCTGTAATCCCAACTACATGGCAGGCATAGATAGGAGGATTAGAGTTCAAGGCCAGCCCAGGCAAAAAGCACAAGAACCTATTTGAACAATTAAAAGCAAAAAGGGCTGAAGGTGCCTAGCAAGCAAGAGGCCTGAGTTCAATACCAGTACCACAAAAATTACTTAGGCAATGGGTTTGGATTTCATAATATGGACTATACAAATCCATCTCAGGGTTTCAGGCACAAGAACAGAGAAATACAAATAAATTTGCATTTTCTTTAAAAATATACTCTGCGTGGAAAATGGTGTGAGACCAGAGAACAGACTTTGGTGGAAATGTAGGAAAGAGACAGATGTGGCTAGGAAGAGAGTAGAGGCAGGAAGGACAGAAAACACAGATATTTAGGAGGCAGAATAAAGAAAATTTATTACTTGAATGGATTAGTGAAGAGGTAGGTGATGGGTTTAGGGAAAGAAGGAAGCTAAGAAATAGGTGGATGGTCATGGGTGAGACTGCAGCTCCAGGTGAACCAAAAGGAAAATCTTGCCATTGAATATAACCACTGGTGTTCACGGCAGACACTAGCTTGACTATAACTATGATTTCTTTAAACACTGCCCCACTGAAAGCAGTATCAATGTATGCAATCCAACTGAACTCAATAATCACCACTGTACTCCTCCTTGTCTGCTCTTCCCTGCTGCCTACAAGTCTTACAAAGATCCTTCAGGTTCCCCAGCAGGTGATGGGTGCTAGGAAGGGTTGTTGGCTGAGATGAAATACTGGTATTTTACTAAACAGAGACACCTCCCAGAACTGTTCATGCAGCTATCTTTCTTGAACTTGGCTTTGTCTATAGAGGGATTTGCTAATTAGCAGGAGATTCTAACACAAGGATCTCACTAGTTGGTGAAAAGAGAAGAGGGTGGATAGGGTGTGGTAGTCTTGCATCTGGTAGTTTTCTGGTAATTATTTTGGATTAGCTGTACCCGTTTAACTTATGCATTATTCTGTCTTTATCAATACAGGTATGTGTTCTTTAGAGTTTGTCACTTCTGGCCTTCTTCATATTGGCAAATCCCTTTTTTGGGCAATGAACTCAAGGTTAAAAGGGAGAGAAAGAGAGAGAGGGGTCTGGACCTCAGTTGGGGGATCTTTATATTAATTTACTTTCATGAGAGGCTAATGCTTTATTTAGCTCTCCATCATTTCCAACTTGCTTAGATCATTCTAAAGTTGTTTATTCTCTGACTGACTGCAAGTATATAACCTCTCACCAAATAAATTGACTAAATATAACCAATGTTCTTATAGTATGCAACCAGCATGGTGTTTTCCTTAGGTGGTGTTTCTGTAAGTTAGTCTGAATTTATCACAGGAAAACATAGGTACTGTCTGACGAACAGCATAAATTTGAGTTTCCTGACACAATGTTTAGTGTGGTTGATACATGGCATGGTGTGTAGCCCGGATGGAGGAGCAATTAAAAATGATATCTTAATAACTTGAATGGCGGGGGGTGAATTCAAGGGCAATATATTGTAAGCACTTTTGTAAATGTCACAATGTCCCCCAGTACAACAATAATATTCTAATAGAAAATTGTATATTTGGAAACTACAAAAAAACCCTAAATATAGTATGAACATAAAGTTAAAAAGTAATTTGTATGATATATTTGATATATTATATGAACTTTTGTAAATGCCACAGTGTACCCCCAAATAGCACAACAATAAATAAATAAGTTAAAATAAAATGAAATAAAAATATGGAACATCTAGTCCAAAAACTGCAGAAGTTACTGAATATCAGTATGTTACTATGTCTCAGTAAACTATTACCGTTTCAGTGCATATGTATGCACATATTAGACATATTAACCTTTCATCTCACACTTGTATTCCCAGTTTTACATTCTGTGCTGTTTGCATTCACTCCACTTCTAATAATCTGTAACAATTAAGACTACCAATAAAATTTTCTCCACTTACATTAGAAAAATAACTTGGAAAATGGCACAGACTCAAGTCAAATCATTCAATGACATTGGTAGAATTCTATCATGTGGAGAATGGAGAAGTAATGCTAACCTCAAACATTACGAGTTAAAAGAATCATCCCTTAAGAGAACATTACATAAAGAGCTTACCTCCAAGAGGAGGAGATATTCTAGGCTCTGTCTGGATTTTTTCAGAGCCAAAGTCAAAAGTTTGGCTTTCTTCCCTGCTGTTTCTGTCTTCAATTCCATCAACAATCCTGTTGAAGTAAAGGAAATCAGTCAGTACTGCATTATATTCATGTATTCTAGTATTTCTAGAAGTCTTTAAGAAATTTTATGTGAAATTTCCAAATTCTAGTTATTGTAGAGCTGGATATCTAGCCTGGTAACTATTTGTCTTATATGAAGGACCTGAAATGTGGTTGGTGCAAATTGAGATGTGCTGCATGTATAAAAACACATTCTGGACTTTGAAGAATAAGTGAAAAGAAAGAAATAAATTTAAAAATGATTTTTATATTGTTAACTTTTACAGTGGTAGTGTTTGGGACATATTGTATTAAGTAAAATACATTGTTAACATTAATCTGACTTTTTTCTACTTTAAAAAAATGTCACTAGTAGAAAAATTTAAAACTACATATGTGGCTCACAAATTTAGCTTACATTATATTTTTATTGGAAATAATGCTATAGGGTTTAGGCTCTTATTTATTTTCAGATTCTGATTCAAATCTCAGATTAAAGAATATATATGTATGTACATTTACAAAGAAGTTCTTTTACTAAATTCATATTAAATAAGTATTCTAAGAAAAAACATGATAACCTAATGACTGTAACATTATAGAAAATTAAATTTGGTGATACAGTCACTAGGTTTGGACAAAACTCAATTTTTGTGTTGAAGAATTCTACTTAACTTACTATCAGGTTGTTTTCTAATCTTCTTTCCTTAGTAAATACTAATTCATTAATTAAAAATGCAAGTCTATTATAGGAATTTATACATAAAGGTAACAAAATCAGAAAATAAAAATCACCTCTACTTTACACTACTGTCAATATTTTGGCATAGGTCCTCAAGATCTTTTTCTATACATAAAAGAACATATATTATTTTTAAGTGTAGGATCATATTATACATAAAATTTTCCCTTCTAGCTCTGATAGAGTCTTTGCCTATTTAAATTATTATTTTTCATTTTAATAAAACTTTATGAAGAAGAGTCAAGCAGTTTTCAAAGTACCATCTTCAACTGAATGCTTGACAATTTAATGTCCACATACTTTTCACTAAACTTGCTTTGCCTATTTTTTTCTAATATTCTTTTTTAAAGGATAAGCTGTGCTCTTTAAGAGAATGATGAAATATGTAGTATATTAGATCACTTGGGTTGTGAGTAGAAAAACAATTTGAATTCTGTTTTTACTACTTAATATCTCTGAGATCTTGGACAAAATATTTAAATTTTGAATTCTAGTTCTTATAACTTCATAGTAGAGATAAGATGAACTACTTCGTGGGATTCCAAGAAGACTAAATGCAGGGTGAATATGAAATTACCTAGCAAAGTACACGAAACAGAACACACTCAGTATTTTTCCTGCTTTTCTTAATTACTTAGCTGTTATGAGATTTTGATGATTGCTATTGCTTTTATGTGCCACAGCCTGACCCTTTCACATTTTCCAAGATTTTTTCACTTTCTTAGCCACCTTTCATTGCTTCTAAAGTGGATTTATTTTTAATTAAAAAGAGAAGCTATGTTACCTATTGAAGAGACCAGAAATAAAACTGAGCTTCAGCCTTCCACAGTAATGGGGTAAATCATATGGAAAATGAAAATCAACACTTTACTTTCTTCATAATTTCAACTTGTTGCCTTATGAAACTTTTGACAAGATCAGGCTAATTAAGAGGACAGCATGGATGGATTTTGTCCTATCTCTTTTTATGTTCTTCATAAATTAATAAATTATAAAGTCACACTGTAAAAGTACATAAAACATAGAAAGCACTCAGTTCTTTGTGCATTTATATTTTGCATTACATTTATTATACATTTAACACAATAGGTAGAGCTAAATGAATCTAAAGAGTGTAGAGAAGAAATGCTGAACATTTAATGGATTCTTTTGAGAATATTACCAAAAGTATTTATTCTCATACCATGTATATACAAACCTGTACACATTTTCAAAAAAACATGCACAAAGAGAAAGATAAAGAATCCAGGCTGTGAACCTACACAGTAAAAAGACTGAGTAATTTATTAGGCACGTATGAGTCTGCATTAAAGAGGACCACTTTCACCTGGGAAAGAGTTAATGTGATGTGAACTCTAACCTTGGACTGAGGTCTGGAGGCCCCGCATTATTCAAAGTAGAAAGTTGCAATTTCAAGTTCTTCTTTTTCCTTTTACCATGGTTAGGGAGGTCAGTCTCCTGCTTGACTTGGGGGGAATTTGAACTGGAGGCTCGGATAGGTGAGTGAAATGGCACTGTTCCTGAGGCCAGCTGCTTTAGGCTTAAGCCTAGGTAGCTTTTGTTGCTTCCAGTCTTCTTGCTGCGTGAAGAGGGTTCTCTTGTGTAGATGGGAGAGAGGGAGGCTGTCTCTTCTTCTTCTCCCTCCTCCTCTTCTTCATCCTCCACAATGGATGGCAGTCTCTTGATGCTGCCATTCCCCTTAGGCTCTGACTAAATCAATGGATAACATAGATTAGTGCAGATTGCAAAGGCTTTTAAAGCCGGTATCATTCATACTGCTCTACTGAAGAAAGTCAAATCCCTTAGAGACTTACTATCATTAAAACTGAAGACCTCAGATTTTGCTATTTTTTTTTTTTGCAGGTTTTAAAAGTCTTTCAAATTCTGACCTCCAGGTTCATCCTCTCTGCTTTCCTGGCTTTAGCCTTCAGCCCTTCAGTTGTTCTTTCAAACTGTCTTGGTGGGGGAGTTCTATAAAAGGTACATTTTATAAGCTTTGCATCTAGTATTTACTTGGTTAGTCACTTGGAATAGTACATGGTGGCACACTCTTAGGAATAAAGATGTTTTCAATTTTAATGATGTTCTTGGATTTTGTGAGTTAAAATGGTAAGATCTTTAATGGACCTTTACATGGAGATAAGCCAGTAAAACTTATATTATCCTTGAGAATATCTTTCCTATTCGGGTTCCCATGGAAGGAAAAAGCACAGAAGTGTCCTCAGCTACACTATTGTTCTTGCTCTCATAAGTTGCTAACAAGAAATAGAACTACCAGGTCTTTCCCTCCGAAGAGCATTGGGAAAGGAGGGAAAATAGTTTTGTCAAAATCTAGCTTAGTATCACTGGACTCTTGAACGTGGTAGGCTAAAAAGAAAAAAACAGAAAAGACAGGAAAAGAAAACTGAGGTGATGATGGGAGGGCAGGACAGAGAAGCCACCAAAAGCTAAACTTTAGTGGCTCTGAACAGTCACTATAAAATGTATGCTTCCTGTTCCACCCCAGACATGGCTTCTCTGGAGCATGTCCAGAGGTAAATTCATCTCAAAAGGTCAATTTACTTTTCTGTGCCTCAGTTTCTTTTGAAATCTAATCACTTATAGCTGCTTATCGATAATCTCTAAAAAAAAAAAGTAAGATTAAAAACTTGAAATCCCTAAAATTGTTACTTAAATCTCATGGGATGTCATGATTATGACTTCAATGAGTGGTTGGTTCATTGGTATATTTGGTTTTTGCTATACCTATAATAGGTGTAGTGACAGATATAAAAGAATTATAATGACTTGCAGGCAACAACCATTCAGTTTATGTGATTTAGCAGCTGCTAAGTGAGATGATAGGTTTTTTTTTGAAGATTTTTTGTATGTTAATCTCGATGGATGGCTCAAGATTTCTGAACAAAATGGTATTCCTAGCCTCCTCTTTTCAGCTAGATATGAATATTTTAATTAATGGTAAAACTAGGAGATCTTTATTGGGTTGGTCATGATGTTTCTTTTACTTGTTTATTTTGGTTTTTCACAGCATTTAAAACTGTGTGCTTCAACAAAAATTGGACCTACATGGATTGCAGGGAAATATTTGTATACTAGCAGTGTGGAATAGAAAAATTAGCTACCCTAGCTAAACACACAACTGGGCAAACTTATCAAAGAAATGAAAAACACTAAGTACATTCTCTATTTATATTTCTGTTTATATAGCTGTTGACAATGTATTCATTCTTTTGTTTCAAAAGTCTCCACTGGCTCTAAAGGAGTCTCTTACTAATAACTTGTCCAGTGTTTATACTTCTACAAGTTTGTTCAAATTTCATACTTACACTTTGTGAAGGTGTCTTGGCACCTTAGATAAATTTCTTAGAAACTGACTCTTATAATCAAGACAGCAGACATCACTTATACCAAGAGTTAATAATCCCACCTATCATTACTGTAGTCAGGACTTAAAGTTTTTTATATTATTTGACACCCAGACCCATGTTGGCTTCTGGCAGGAGGACCAGCTCCTTTCTCCAGGAATCACCAGAACAGCTGATTCCCCCAAGTAGCTGGATTCACCTGTGATACATTGCCATAGCATTCAAACACAGGTCTCTCCCTTCTCACCTGATTCATCCCTTCACTCTCTTCCTAGCAAAATGCTTTCATAAGTATAATAAGATTTTAAAACTCATAGTTAAAGAAATCTGAAACTTAGCTCATGACATTTTGTTGGAATAGTCACTTAAAACTCACAAATGACTAGTCTAATCTGTCCTAACTAAAGAGCAAGCAGGACAAAGTCTCAAGGTTGAATGGATAGTTTTCAGTTTTACAGCCCTAGAACTCCTGTCCTTTGCTAGTAGTAACCTTGGTACTACTTGGTAGATAACACAATTATTAAGAAATCTTTGTTTCCTTGCCTGTAAACTAGGAATGGCATGAGGAAAATGTTAGGTATTAGATAATGGAAATTAAGCACTTAGCAATGTGTAAAGAAAAGTTTGAATAAATGCATGAAATGATGATTATCATAAGGAAGATGAACACCAAATTTCTATCAGGGCAGGTGTGGTTACCTCTTTTATGCAATGCCTTCTTCTTTCTTACTTAATAGGTGTATTAGAAATATACCCTGCCCAAAGATCACAGTTTCCTTTGCAACTTGGTTTATCAATGAGGCTATGTTCTAACATGATGGTATGTAAGTAGAGAGGTTGTGAGGAAATTTTAGAAAGGCTACAAAGAACAAGGGAACCTCTATCACACTCTTTCATATTTCTTTAGTTTCTAGTTTGGAGTATGGCTAAAACTAATGGATATTCATCTACCACCTTGGGGAAATGAAGAGATCTTAAAGAAGGAAGTCATATGCTAAAAATAATGAAGCAGAAAGTAGAAATTCAGGAACCATATTGACACATGGGGGATGTTATAGTCCTCCTCTAAGACTTGTCCAAAAAGAGAAATAAACATCTGTTGTTATTCTGGTAGTTTTAACATCACAAATGAACTTCAATCTAAATTACAAAGAAGAATTTTTCAAGTTAAGGATGTTAGATTATTAGGAGGGATCTTTATCTTTGCAGTTCTGTAAAAGGGTGAGAAATTCAAATGGGAAAAGCAATCAACAAAAAAGACAAATTTCTCTTCATGAACAAGGAAATATAGAAAGGGTCTGGGGGAAAGTTGGTGCTGCTGCGAGGAAGGACTTTCTGGAGAGAAGAGTTGACACATGAAGTCTATTTTGCTTTCTTATGAGGAAGATTTTGTGGAGATGAAAGAGAAAAGTAAACTAGTTTTGAAGAGACACTTGGTTGAAAGCAGCGAGATGCTTTAGAAACTTTTAAGGAGTTTCTTGACCTAATGTTAAATGTAAACACTGTTTGCCCTTCTCCAACCATCTTTGTAAATTATCAGTATCTTTATAATGCTCAACTGGATCTATTTGTGGGGTGTGTGTGTGTATGTGTGTGTGTGTGTATGTGTTGGTGTGTATGTGTGTGTGTGTGTGGTGTTGAGTTCTGTTTCAAAGAAGGTACAAAGCAATGAAAGGAGCTGTTCATAGGCTTGTAGAATTATTAGCAATAAAAATCTAGCTAGTAAATATAATGGATTAATGTTTCCAAGTCATCTATAAAAGTGGAGGGCACTTAAAAATTGGCACTGTCTTAAGAGTTCAAGTGAAACTTCTTCCAGAATATCTTTGAGCCATGTATATATAACCATTATAAATACTCACATGAAAGTAGATGCTTATATGAAAAATTTTATAACCAATTTTAAACAAAAGTACTTATAAGATCAACACACTTCAGGATTTCAGTACTCTTGTCAGGTTTTGATAAAAAAATGACTTTATAACAATAACAACAAACACTCCTGTAGAGATACAAGTTTTAATACTTCTTTATACTCTAACTCAGGAAAATCAGTCAATACAATCTCTTATTGGGAAGAAAACTGGGGAAAGTAAAAAGTAATTATATAAAACCCTAGATGGGAAGAAAGCTATATCAGAAGTCATCCAGATTTTGGATAAATATTTTGCTGTCTAGAAAAAGCCATACCTGTGGGATTGTAGATTTGTTCGATAATCTTGATATCACCTGAAAGAACAAACAGAAGTTTTATCAATCACTTAAATCTCTCCTAGTAGTTTGGGACTGGGTGAAATGAAGGAGGCAGTAAAAAAAGAAGAATCTTCAGGGACTGTATGTTTGTGTGGTGCTATGTACCTACTTATGTAGGTTAAAAAAGAGAAAAATATCTTCTGAAAGATGCTGAAAGCGTCTTTCCCCCTCTCTAGGATCTCCGCTGTATGTCATGAAGAGATCAGAAAGTTGAATGTCTACCACGGGCACCACACCAAATGAATTATCATTGCAATAAAGAGCCCATATTTTCCATCTTGATGCTTCATTCTCTCTACTTTAGTTTTATTCTCATTTCTTGCCTTTTACTAAGTTCTCTCATCTTCCTTAATTTTGTCCTTTTGGCTCTGTGAAATGGATACCATGGAATCTTATTTAATGTCATTGCTTTCTACTTATCCTCCTTTCCTTCTTGCTTGAATACTGGTGGGGGATATCTCCTTCCATCCCATTTGCTTTATGCACTATGATATTCCTTATGGACTAAGATTAAGCGTACTAGATATCCCAGTTCCCTATTTAATTGAATCTAAGAACCCAATTGGTTACAAAAAAAATGCTGTCAATCAAATGGAGACATGCCGTTAACTGTAAGACAGATTTTAACCTCAGAGATACTGAACTGTAAGGAGGAAGTGTATATGTTAGAATCACTTAAGCTTGGATTGCAGAACACACATTGAATAAAATCAAACTATGGTACTGTGAAAGAATGTATTAAAAACATTCACTTTCCATGATGTATAAAGCAGCTCTGGATATTATGACATGTCCCCAAAACATGCTCTGGAATCATCCACATTTTCTTTTTGCCTAATTACACTCCTTTTATTTTAATGTGGTAATAGATGCTATAAATTAGCATAATTTTATTCATATGTAAAAATGCACTTGAAAATGATTTTTCAAGTAAGCCAGACATATTGGTAATTCTATCATCCTCTCATCATTTTTTTCCACAAGATGATTAGTGAAATATATTTGTTATTATTTATACAAATGCCAGCATCATTATTGCTCTGCAAATATATGTTTCATCAATGTTTAATTTTATCAAAGCAGTCAACCCATTCTATGTCTGCTTAGTTGCCTAAATATGCATTAATCAGAAGCATTTTAGACATAAGCTTTGTAATAATTCCCTAACAGTGACAAGACAGCTGAATAATTAAAAATGTGAAAAATAAGACAAAAGTATAGTGCTCTTACTACTGTGGTAGACACAAAAGTGTGTTTTAAAAAGCTTTTCAGTTACAACTTGGATTAGAGAGGGAACAATGGGATTTAGAAAACTTTAAACCCTCCAGGACATAGATGACTGTAGAGGGGTAAGAGAGATGGTGGTACTACTGTCTTCTCATTTGGATGCACTTTAAGCTCCCTGCCTTACCACTAGTCTTGTCAAGTTGCAGAGTGTCAGCTTGTTTTGCTATAGCAGTGCTTCTCAAACATATATGTGTACATGAATTACTTAGAGATCTCCTTAAAATACAGGTTATGATACAGGTCTGGAGTGGAGCTTGGCATGGTGAATTACTAGTGATCTCCCAGGTGATACTGATGATTCTGGACGCAGAGTAAACTTTGAGTAGCAAGATTTCAAAATCAAGGTGGGGGAAGGTTGAGGGGATGAGGGAAAACAATGGAGGGAGTAAATCTAACTAAGATATATTATAAGAATATATGTAAATGTCACTGCTAATAAAAAATATCTCAAAAATCAGTATCATGATTATTACCATACTATCAATTAGTTAAGTATTCATTATATGATAAGCACCGTGATAAGTATTTCCCAGACATTATGTCCATTAATTTTCAATATGCTCCCATAAAGTAGATATTCTTAATCTCCATTTTTCTGAAAAGGAACTAAAAGGCCTACACAGTGTAAGTGGCTTTCTGAAGGTTGCAAGGTAGTAACTGACTAGTAGCAGGAAAATGAATACTGGTTGGCTGCTATACAATTTATTTTTATTCTTCTTATTTTTTTGTTGCCTTCGATTACCCAAGGTAACCTTATCTCATTTTTTTTAATCAGACTCACTGATGGCCAAAAAATCAAGCATACTTCATACACACAAACACACACATATAAAATACATACAATATACATATACATACATATTTATATTATTGGTATTTCCCAGCACTGTGATACTCTCTGAATAAATAATTTTATTTATATACAATATTAATCACTCACACTTAAAAAGATTACTATGACATCTTCCTTCTGATAACTGACATTTCATGCTGATCCAAATATTGCAAAATGCAAGGAGAAAGGATTCAATGGAATCCCAGGATTTATAAGATAGATACGGGAAGGAAAACTGCCAAACACATTTTATGAAGCCCAAAACCAGGCAAAGACACCTCCAAAAAGGAGAACTATAGGCCAATCTCCTTAATGAACATTGATGCTAAAATCCTCAACAAAATAATGGCAAACTGAATTCAGCAACACATCAAAAAGATTATTCACCACGACCAAGTAGGCTTCATCCCAGGGATGCAGGGGTGGTTCAACATACGAAAATCAATAAATGTAATAAACCACATTAACAGAAGCAAAGACAAAAACCACTTGATCATCTCAATAGATGCAGAAAAAGCTTTTGATAAGATCCAACATCATTTCATGATAAAAGCTCTAAGAAAACTAGGAATAGAAGGAAAGTTCCTCAACATTGTAAAAGCTCTATATGACAAACCTACAGCCAGCATTATACTTAACGGAGAACAACTGAAACCATTCCCTCTAAAATCAGGAACCAGACAAGGATGCCCAGTATCTCCACTCCTATTCAACATAGTACTGGAATTCCTAGCCAGAGCAATTAGGCAAGAAGAAGAAATAAAAGGAATACAAATAGGTAAAGAAACTGTCAAAATATCCCTATTTGCAGACGACATGATCCTATACCTTAAAGACCCAAAAAACTCTACTCAGAAGCTTCTAGACATCATCAATAGCTACAGCAAGGTAGCAGGATATAAAATCAACATAGAAAAATCATTAGCATTTGTATACACTAACAATGAGCGAACTGAAAAAGAATGTATGAAAACAATTCCATTTACAATAGCCTCAAAACAAATCAAATACCTAGGTGTAAACCTAACAAAAGATGTGAAAGACCTCTACAAGGAAAACTATACAATTCTGAAGAAAGAAATTGAGGAAGACTATAGAAAGTGGAGAGATCTCCCATGCTCATGGATTGGTAGAATCAACATAGTAAAAATGTGATACTCCCAAAAGTAATCTACATATTTAATGCAATTCCATCAAAGTTCCAAAGACATTCATTAAAGAGATTGAAAAATCTACTGTTAAATTTATATGGAAAACAAGAGGCCACGAATAGCCAAGGCAATACTCAGTCAAAAGAACAATTCAGGAGGTATCACAATACCTGACTTCAAACTATATTACAAAGCAATAACAATAAAAACAGCATGGTACTGGCACAAAAACAGACATGAAGACCAGTGGAACAGAATAGAGGACCCAGATATGAAGCCACACAACTATAACCAACTTGTCTTTGACAAAGGAGCTAAAAATATATGATGGAGAAATAGCAGCCTCTTCAACAAAAACTGCTGGGAAAACTGGTTAGCAGTCTGCAAAAAACTGAAACTAGATCCATGTATATCACCCTATACCAAGATTAACTCAAAATGGATCAAGGATCTTAATATCAGGCCCCAAACTCTAAAGTTGATACAGAAAGAGTAGGAAATACTCTGGAGTTAGTAGGTATAGGTAAGAACTTTCTCAATGAAACCCCAGCAGCACAGCAACTAAGAGATAGCATAGATAAATGGGACCTCATAAAACTAAAAAGCTTCTGTTCATCAAAAGAAATGGTCTCTAAACTGAAGAGAACACCCACAGAGTGGGAGAAAATATTTGCCACTATACATCAGACAAAGGACTGATAACCAGAATATACAGGGAACTTAAAAAACTAAATTCTCCCAAAACTAATGAACCAATAAAGAAATGGGCAAGTGAACTAAACAGAACTTTCTCAAAAGAAGAAATTCAAATGGCCAAAAACACATGAAAAAATGCTCACCATCTCTAGCAATAAAGGAAATGCAAATTAAAACACGCTAAGATTCCACCTCACCCCTGTTAGAATAGCCATCATCAGCAACACCACCAAAACAGGTGTTGGCGAGGATGCGGGGAAAAAGGAACCCTCTTACACTGTTGGTGGGAATGTAGACTAGTACAACCACTCTGGAAAAAAATTTGGAGGCTACTTAAAAAGCTGGACATCGATCTACCATTTGATCCAGCAATACCACTCTTGGGGATATACCCAAAAGACTGTTACTCCAGAGGCACCTGCACATCCATGTTTATTGCGGCACTATTCACAATAGCCAAGTTATGGAAACAGCCAAGATGCCCCACCACTGACGAATGGATTAAGAAAATGTGGTATCTATACACAATGGAATTTTATGCAGCCATGAAGAAGAACGAAATGTTATCATTCGCTGGTAAATGGATGGAATTGGAGAACATCATTCTGAGTGAGGTTAGCCTGGCCCAAAAGACCAAAAATCGTATGTTCTCCCTCATATGTGGACATTAGATCAAGGGCAAACACAACAAGGGGATTGGACTTGAGCACATGATAAAAGCGAGAGCACACAAGGGAGGGGTGAGGATAGGTAAGACACCTAAAAAATTAGCTAGCATTTGTTGCCCTTAACGCAGAGAAACTAAAGCAGATACCTTAAAGCAACTGAGGCCAATAGGAAAAGGGGAACAGGTACTAGAGAAAAGGTGAGATCAAAAAGAATTAACCTAGAAGGTAACACCCATGCACAGGAAATCAATGTGAGTCAATGCCCTGTATAGCTATCCTTATCTCAACCAGCAAAAACCCTTGTTCCTTCCTATTATTGCTTATACTCTCTCTACAACA